CAAAAGCCTTCAGCCAAAGTCAAGAGATTGGCAGATTTGCTCAAAAGATACTTTGCTCCCCAAATCAGCAATTTAGTGTTCTAGTCCAGTGAGACATTGAACCAAGCCATGAAAGCCCATAAAATGGGGAGGACAAAGACAGCCCACTCTGCCCTGACCCCACTCATCCTTGGGACTCTTGTTTCACTCAAAGGCAAAATGTACCATTCTTCCCCATGCCTAGAAAATTCTGTCTCCATCAGAGTGGCCCATCAGCCTGAACCATCTCAAACACAGTAGTGAAACTTCCTGCCTATTGTCCCTTTCCCTGATCATGAGAGCTACAGTCGCCACCAGTCACCACCCCCTCAGGAGCTCACAAGGGCTACGCTTCCAAAAACAACAGATGCTGGCATGGATGCAGAGAGAAAGGAATGCTTACCACTGTTGCTGGGACTGCAAAGTACTACAACCTCTATGGAAAACTGCACGGAGATTCAAAGAACTAAAAGTCAACCTACTATTTGATCCAGCAATCCCACTACCGGGTATTTATCCAAAGGAAAAGAAGTCATTTTATCAAAAAGACACTTGCACTTGGATGTTTACTGCAGCACAATTCACAATTGCAAAGATGCAGAATCAACCCAAATGCCCATTAATTCATGAGTGGATTAACAAAATGTGGTATATGTATACCATGGCATACTACCCGGCCACAAAGAAGGATGACTTAATGCCTTTTTGCAACAATTTGGATGGAACTGGAGACCATTAGCCTAAATGAAGTATGTAAAGAATGGAAAAATAAACACCATATGTACTCACTATTAAATTGGAACTAACCGATGAGCATACATGTGCACAGATGGAAGTAAAACTCAATGGAAATCAAGCAGAGGGGAGAGGGTGGAGGGGATGGGCAAAAACCTATCTAACAGGTACAATGAACACTATCTGAGCAAAGAGCACACTTTAAACCCTGACTCAAGCATTACAAAACCAATACATGTATCCAGAAACATTTGTACCCCCCTGTAATACTTTGAAATTAAAAAAACAACAACACAGGCCATGCTTATAAACTGCCCAATAAAAATGCCTCTCATCATATTTTATGTCTCAGTGCTATACTGGCAGTGAAGGTGGAAAGTGCGGGGTGATCAGTTTACTTTGGAACACTTTGAAAAAGACTTGAGATTGGAGCCAATGTTAGCAACTCTGGTTTTTTTCTTTTTTTTTGGTTTTTTTTTTGGTTTTTTTGCCTTGACCCCTGATTCCTCAACCCTAAGCCCACCCAAGGTTCAACTCACTTAGGGTTCCAATAGTGATCTGGAGCTGTAACCAATGCCACCTTGCTCCTTTTTCCCTTCTTTCTTCCAACAGGCTCCCCTCTCATCCCAGGAATCCATGCTAGGCCTATACTTTCCACAGAATTGTCTCATTGCCTCCTGTCTTGTCTGCTGCTTGGTCTGGGCTAGAAAACTCCCAAATTTCCCACAATGCCTGCAAAAAGTTTAGCTCATTTCTCTCCTGATCTCTTCCCTTTTTTCACTGAACCAGACCTTGGTCACTTGCTTCCCTATCAGAAACCTTTTGCCTGCCAGTTCCCCCAGGCCCAGGACCCAAGGAAAGTTGGCTTTCCTCCAAAACAGGTGAAGAGAAGGGACAAGATATACTGCCGGTGACATCGCAGAACGGTACATATCACAGACTCCATAAAGACTGTATATTTCATGCTCTAGTATGGCCTGAATTCCACTTCTCTTCTACCTCCTGTGGCTTTTCCCCATGCCCAGAGGCCCCCTGATGTGAAGCCACCCCTTAAACATCAAAACTACCTTTCTCTGGGGCTTCCTCACAGCAATCCAAATCATCTGAAGAACGTTTAACCCATTAAGCCAATCAGAACAGCTTTAGGGCTGAAGATATTAGGTCTAGCCATAGAGAATTTGGGTTGCAGGGTACTTCCAAATACTAAAATCAGGGCTCAGTATGGTGGCTCACGCCTGTAATCCTAGCACTCTGGGAGGCCAAGGAAGGAGGATTGCTCAAAGTCAGGAGTTCAAAACCAGCCTGAGCAAGAGTGAGACCCCCGTCTCTACTAAAAAATAGAAATCAATTAATTGACCAAGTAAAATATATAGAAAAAATTACCCAGGCATGGTGGCACATGCCTGTAGTCCCAACTACTCGGGAGGCTGAGGCAGGAAGATTGCTTGAGCCCAGGAGTTTGAGGTTGCTGTGAGCTAGGCTGATGCCATGGCACTCTAGCCCAGGCAACAGAGCAAGACTCTGTGTCAAAGGAAAAAAAATACTAAATTCATAAGCTTTTATTTATTTATTTTTAAATTCATAGGCTTTTAGAGATGCAAGTCATGTTAGATGTTAACAGAAACAGACAAATCACAATAATCGAAATGGATAATGTACCAACCTCCTTGAGTTAGGGGGTATATGTTTCCCATCTCCCAGAATGGCTATTGGGAAAATAATGGCTGATAAAGCTGAGAGTAAACCTTTACTAGCTTCTATCCCTTTGAGACACCAGAGCTGGGATACAGGTGGCCAGAAAATTTTGAGTAAACTGCAGAAAACATATGTAGGTACAGACACATTTGGAATCTCAGGATATGAATGGTTGCTTGGGAAAGCTGAGGGGCTCAGGAAAGGTAGTGCCGAGGCTGAGATTTTCTAGGCGCTCCAAAATGTGGTAGGGTGTTCTCGACTTTTCCAAAATAAAAACTGAGGTGTTCCTGAGAGCCTGCAGTCACAGACATTTTAGTGAGTTCAAGATATGCCACATCAAGAACCCAAGCCAAAGTCTTCTGAGACCCTGGGGACAGACCAAATTCCTTTCTGTCACTTTCTGACCTATACTTGTCATAATTTAAACCAGTAACCTCAGCCCCTCAGCGGACCTGGTCTATGTCAAGAATACACACCAGGCCACACCTTGGCACAGCCCACTGCAGCACCGCCCCCACCCCTCAGCTGCACTGTGAGGTCTTGACCGGAAAGTCCCAGCCAGCCCTCCCCCTGAGTCCCCTATGATCACCTACTTTGAAGTCTGTTCCTCAGCAGTGAGTCTCTTCCTGGTAAAATAGTGGTTTTTCCAAGTTTTATTACAGACTCCTAAGGCCCCAGCTCCAGGCCTGCTCATACCACATAAATGCCAGGGCCTAGCTTCAGCCTAGCTGCCACTGCTTTCCATTAACTTTCACCCAGACTTTGCCACTCGCTGATCCCAAAGGCCAACAGCCTGCCTTCAACCACAGGGCAACGCTCAGCAGGTGCTCTCTGAGGTAACCTAGGCAATAGCTTGAGGCCCTACCCTGGCTGCCTTCCCAGGAGCCCCTGAACTGCATCAAAGCAGGAAAAAGGGTGGCCCCAGAGTGAGTGTGGCAGCCACCTTCCCCCAGAAATTGTTCCACACAGTCCGGGGACCCCTCCACTCCAGCATCAGGTGGCCTGGGTAGTCGTGAGACTTCCCTTGACAACCAGTGAGGCACACTGGAGTTTTTTTTTCAAGCGGGGCTCGCACACAGCGACTGCACCAATGAGTCACAAGGTCTGAGGCACCAAGAGTCCCAAAGCCTCTTCTGCAGGGGCAGCCCAGCGAAGCTGCAAACTAAAACCCCGAATTCTTGGTTGAAAATGGATGGGAGAGGCTCTCCAAGGACCGAGAGAATCCACAGGTGGACACCCCAGAATTCAAGGTTTCTGTGTTCACTTAATAATCCCCACGTCCCCACAGATGGCAGCGTACGTGTTTGACGCTGGCCAGAGGAGGGAACCCCTCATTCCTAGGGCCACACTGTAAAAAGCCACATATTTATTCTGAGTTGCGAACTTGGGGCAGGTGACATGAGTGGAACTGTCCTGAGGAGCCACGAGAGGGAGCAAGCCTTGCGGGAGGGGGCATCTCAATCGCCTAGCTCCGTCGCGAGACCCCTCGCCAGGACTGCTGAGGGGGCTTCGCCGGCGGCTTTTCTGGAAAAGCGGGACGGCTCTTCTGCCTTCCCTGAGCTCACAGGCGGCCTCAACGCGAGGAGCGCGCACGCCTGGGGTCTTGCGGCCACCAGCCTGGAGAGCAGAGGCTGTGCCACCAACCCTGTTTGGCTTAGGGGAGGAGACCAAGTCAGCCTCAGGCGAGAGCGGGAGTGGCGGGGCCGGCATTCCGGCTTCAGGCCGGACTGGGCACCCCGCGGATAACGGAGAGGCGCGGGGTGCCGGGGAGGGCCGGGCCGAGGCTGGGGGCGGCGCAGACTTGGCTGCAGGGCCCTGCCTGCCTGTCGCCTCACGCCGCTCGCTCGGGCAGGACGCGGCGGAGACCGCCTCCTCGCCCGCTCTGGGGCTCGGCTCAGAGGGCGCCGAGATCCATTCGCTCCCCCAGGGCGACAGAGCGCGGCCCGGCCCGGCTGGGCCGTACCCACCGCGGGCGGAGACGCGCGCACACCCCCACACCACCTCCCTCCCTCCCTTTCTCTCCCGCAGACACACACGCCCGCCATGTGTTCCACTATCCGCTCCGAGTCGCCAGGATTCCTAAAGTGTTTTTTGGCAGAAAACACCTCTGCTCCCCCGAAGGGACCGGGGCTGCCGCACAGATCGGCGGCACCGTGCTTCCCTCAGAGCCCGCCCCGCCTCCCAACTCTCTCCTCTCTTCGTGACTCTCCCCCCAGCGCCGCCAAAAAAACAATTCTGCAAATATTTTTCCCCGGCACACACGGGCAAAGTACTTGAAACAAATCCGAAAGGTGCGTCTGCATTTGTCCTGGGGCAAAAAAAAGTTCATTCCTCGCCAGAGATCAATGAATGTCCCAGTTCCCACCCCCGGGACGTCTTGCGCCCAGTCTCCGCAGCCGAGCCGGCTCAGAGCCCGGCAACCCGCACCCTGGCAGGGCCACGGGCTAGGGGACAGGGGAGGCGTCGGAGCAGCCGGGAGGTGTGGGGTCCGCGGCAGCGGGGAGCGTACACCCTTGCCCACAATGCCAGGTGGGGCGCGCGGGGCAACTCACCTGCTTGGAACTCCACTTGGCGATTTTTCTCTTTTTCCTCCTCTAGCATCATGGAGTAGAGGATCCCGACAGAGTTATGGATGCCGAAGATGGAGCCGTTGCACCAGGTGGCAGCGAACACCACCACCCAGCCGAAGCCACCTTCCGGAGGCTGGAAGCCGCGCGCGGTGCCGCGGGTCTCCACCTTGGGCGTGGGCTCGGGTTCGTGCACCGGCTCGGGCTCAAACTCCAGCTCCGGCAGGGGTGCGGGCTCCGCCAGGGGCTGGGGCTCCCCCTGGGGCTCGGGCGGGGGCACTGGCACAGGCTCCGGCTCCGGCTGTGGCTCTGGGCTACCCACTGGCTCCTGCTGTTCCTGGTCTGCCTCCTGACAGGGCCCCTTGGCTTCCTCGCTCGCCGGGCTTAGCAGCGCCATCGCGGCCGGGGGACTGTGGCTGCTCGGCCGGAGGAGCCGCGGTGTGGCTGGTACTTGTTTCTGCCGCTGCCGCCGCTCCAAGGGCTGCTGCTGCTGCTGCCTCCTCCTCCTCCAGGCTCCGCGCCCCAGCTGGCCAGCCCGTCCCGCAACAGACGGTCCCTCGAGCCCTCTCCTCCGCCTCCCTCGTCCAACCCCCCTCCTCCTCTCCCCATGTCATCTCTCTCTCCTCCCCCTCCTCCTCCCTCCCACCTCTTCCTCCCTCAACAGGCAGCCGCTACAGCCTCGCTTTTCTCCCCAGCCCTTCCTCCTCCTCTTATTCGCTTACCTAGCCTGGCCGCCGCTGCCTCCCCCAACTCCCTTTCCAAACTCCTGAATCCTGTCCTTGTCCAGATGTCCAGTACAGGGAGAGTTAAAATGGAAAAGAGAGAGAGAGACAGAGCACAAACTATCCTGCTCCCCTGCCCTGTCCTCCCGGCAGGCTCCAGAGCCGGCATTGATCAACCCCGAGTCTCCAGAGAAGCCCCCGCCTGTTCTTCTCTCCCATTCCCTTCTTCCTCACAAGCGGCTTGCTACTGGGGTGGCCCCGGGAACCCCAAGATGAGAGCTGACCCGTGAAGGACCCCACGCTCCCCTCGGGAGTCCCTATATCCCCACCACCACCACCTTGCGCTTGAGGGGGGTGACCTGGAGGGCATAGCCTGGGCTTTGGACAGAGGGTGGGTGCAATCTTCTCGAGACCCGGGACTCGGGCCTCCACAATCCTGCGCACCCCCCCAGTCACCCCCTGCCCCCGCCCTTCCCGGCAAATCCCTGGCGGGCCCGAGAGGGGAGGAGGCGGCTCGGCTACGAGGCCCGCCTCTCCGGGCAGTCAATCAGGGCTTTGTTTGCGCCAACCTGGAGCCCAGAGGAGCCGCAGAGGGCCGGGTCTGGGCCTGGCCTGGCCGAGTCTGGGCCGGGGGCCGGGCCAGGAAGGGAGGGAGGTGCAGTGGCACTAAAGGGGGCCGGGCCCAGGCCGGGGCGGGAGCCCGAGCTCAGTTCAAGCTCCTCCCGGCTCTCCGTCCCGGGTTGGGGAGCTAGGAGTCCGGGCGGGTCAAACCGGCAGTTTGGGCATGGGCTGCCCCGCCCCCGACATCCCGGCTGGGCTGGTCCCTTGGGCCTAGGCCACAGCTCTTTGCTTGCTCGGAACTCAGAAGAGCGGCAAGCGGAGGGATGTCTTCCCACCCCCCACCGCCCCCTTCCGCCCACCTCGGGCATGCAGCCGTGGGAGACCCACTGAATGCCCCAGACTCAGGCCCCCGCCCTGGCGAGGGTAAGAGAGAGTTTGCTCCCCACGGATCGCGCAGGTCCCGGGTGGGAGAAAGAGAGGACCTGCCCTGTGGGAGGCCGGGGGGCACGGCGGTGCCCAGCCTCCGTCCTCGGGGCGGGCCAGCGTTCCCAGGAAGCTCTGCCTCCCTTACTAAAGGTCTGCGTCTAGTG